CTCAGAATCCAGTCCGGTGACTGAACTATGGGTGTATTTTTGGGAAGCCTTTTGGTAGCCTGGGTCTCCCCAACCGAGTTTTGGAGTTACATATTTGGAAACAAAGCCTATGGACAAATCCTCCAGACGTCATGAACCACTCTTCCAATAGTACTTGTGAAAGTCACAATGACAGTTCCCTGTGTTGCTTCTGGTTTTTGGCAGGGTTTCGAAGGAACCTGAGTTTGTTTTTTACTAGCCCCGGCTGGGGGCTTAGCCCCGGCCAGGCCTGGTTGATTGGTTGGTTGGTCGGCTGGGCGGCCGCATCCCCAGCGTTCCAGTTACTTGGTGTCAGGGCTGCCTATTGGCTTTAAGTTGCTGGCATTTTACAGATATCCAGCATGATGTTGGTGGGGCTTAAGGTTGACTTTGAGTCGGTTTGGATTGCCTTGGAGCTGATTTATTGTGGCTTTTGGGCTGCTTCAGGGCGTGGCTATGCAAGTTTTGGGCTGGTTTGGGATGGGTTGTGGGGGCAACCACATCCGTGAAGCAACCCTAAAGCACTGTGAAAACAAGCTGCACCCACTAGCACGATTCAGCCCCAAACCAACCCACACCGACCCAAACCTTCAACCCTCCCAACAGCATCCCGGATTTCAGCCCGTTGCCGAGTCAAAATCAACCCTAAACAAACCCAAGACCCACCCTCATTAAGACCTCAAGCCCAACACTCTCCCGAAACCAGCCCCGGGCAACCCTGAACTGCCACCAAATCAAAACCAACAGGCAGCCCCACTCCGAGCGAGGCTGGTGATGCTGGGGATACGGCCCAACCAGACGCCTCCAGCCTGAGAGAGAAAGGATTCCGTAATGGTCAGGATTGGGCAAGCTTGGTTCTAGCAACCAGACTCTGGTTAAAGTTGGCTGAACCCTGGACTTTTCAGGAGTCCGTGAGAGAAGGATGGCATTGAGGCTGCGCCTTTCTGAATTTCATGTTCCCACTCTACGTGCAGCACCAGCTGATGCGCGCGCCCGGGACCTGAGCTTGTTCCCCTTCAAACAAATCGCGAAACAGGGCATGGATTCGGGGGTTTTTGGGACAGGCCCCGCCCTTTTCTGGGACAAGTGCTCATTGCCTTGGACTTTGCTGGAACTGGCTGGCGTTCGCATGATGAGCTGATTCCAATGACCATTGATGACCATGCACATCCTCTTCTGACAGCTGGTTTGGCAACAAGCCAAGTCATCCGAAAGTGCTCAGTTTTGAGGTGCACGAAATATGAACCGGGGCACATGCGGTGTTTGGCTGGCACAAGCTGAGGCACGCTTCAATCACATGAGTTTGGGATGGTACTCTGCCCAACTTGAACTTTGGGCAGAATTGACCTGATTTTTTCTACACTGCCCGCACTGCCCGCCTCTCCTTTGCCATGCCAGCCAAGCCTGAAGTTGGCAAATCATCACAGGCAACGCCTCCGGTCCGGAAGTTCGCGTGAGCTTTGACCCTTCACCTGGCCCCTTTCATTAAAGGAAAAAACAAAGAAAACAAACACAAAGAAGCCATTTGCCAGCGGGACATTCCCCAATCTCCATAGAAAACACCCCAAAGTTTGAATCTGAGACGGTGTCCACTTCCGCCAAACCACCGAAGCAAACGGGTATATATACCTTCAAAGAGTGGCTGGGTGGCCGCATGTCCCTTCCAGTCTCTTAGATGGTCTGGGGTGAAGGCAACATTTCGCCCTTCCGCGAAGCCAGGATGTACAGGGAAGCTTTGAACATGTAACTTCCAGCGCCCCCCCAAAAATGGCTCACACAAAAGCACTGCAGGTACCAGTGGACCACGCTTGGAGGGTGCTGGTTTACAGATCGTTTTGGCTTCTGAAAGGTATCGCAGAGCTGCTTGAGCCATCTTGAGGAAACTTCGCTTCCCTCGGGGATTCTGAATCATTCCGCCGGGTACCGAAGGAAGCACTCCAGTTTCCTCAGTTCCCCCCTGAGCACGGTTTCCAAAAGCTTCCAAAGTGCCAGGGTTGCGGGTCTGGGTGGGCTCGGCGAAAGCCAGGTTTAGACATTGGTCGAGGGTAGAAACTTGGTCAGACCAATTCGCGAGTGCTTCGTAACCCTGACCGCCTTCTTGCCCGCAAGGTTTGGTTATGACTTGCATTGGGCCGTGGCTTGGGTCTGAAGATTTGGTTCCAGAAACAGTCGCCATGGGGCGCTGAGGCCTCAGTTCAACCTCAGTCGTTCCAAACGAATCAACCATCTACCAAGTAGTCTTGGTGGTTCCCAGCCATCCCCTTTAGCTCTTTAGTTTTTTTTAGGTTTTAGGGTGTAGTGGGGGTGGGTTTCCATGCAACCCAAAGTCAAGCTTTTCGCGGGGATCTGAGGACAGCCTTCAGGTATTTTCAGGGATGGTTCCAACTTGACTTTGAGCGTTAGGGCTCATGAATCACAGCTTTTTTTCCTTTGGCTTTGAGGTTTCCTGATGGGACGGCACAAAGTACAGGGAGCGTTTTTCAAGCCCAATCCCAAAAGGTGATGACCGGAGTTCTTAGACTTTGAGTTCCGTATTTTTAGGGTCGTCAGCATAATTTATTTGCCATATCATCCCACAAGGAACTTGAATTTTAGTCTTCAACGCAGTACACAGCTTGGGAGATCCCCTGACAAGATTGCCGAAGTTCAGGGTAGCTCTGAGTCCCGTACAGAAATATGACCGAGCTCGCCCAGAAAGGATCGCGCACCGGCAGCAATCTGGGGCCATGTCCCAGAAGGATGTAAAGGACTGCTTGTGACGAGCTCACCATGATGTAGGTCCTTTGCTTTATCCAGTTCTCATGACAGGATTTTGAATCAATAGAATAGGGTTGCGGATAATTCAAGAACCAACCGAGTCATGATCACAATGATATCAATGCGTGTACTAAGTTTAAGAACCCAATATTATCCAGTTGCTCACCCTGTGTATCCCTTTTTCTCGTGTCGTAGATTCAGATTGGAATCAACCAGGACTGACCTTCTGGTCACTGCGCCAATGGGCGGTCAGCACAACTCAGGGAGTGGGATGTGGGTCTAAGGTGACATCCTGAAAACTGTCCCTTCGAGCAGCTTGAAGCTTCGGAAACCGCGGGGCAGCGCAGAAATCAGACGCCCTCAAACAAGTTCACGTGGGACCCGAGATATGGAGAGCGTCAGCCACTATGAGAGAAAGAGCTGGGGGTCAAGCGGGTTGTGCATTATAGTAGTTCGTCCGGGTTTGTTTGGATGCGGTCTTGGAAAAAAGGAATGTTTACGAACCTTCTGAAATGTCCTGCGCAGCCTTGCCAAGATTCTGAAGATCATGGTACTCCTTCATAACAAGTCGCAGTTGTTTGCTGCTGGATTCATGAACACGTGTGCAGTCGGTTGCGGTGGCGGGACACGCCACACGGATCCGCTTGGGAAAACGAGTTGAGAGCCCTCCGAATGGTTCGGATCATGACGGGTCTTAAGATGGGCGGGCAAGGCTCCAAGGGAACTGCGGGCTCCTGGCATAGGCATCCCTCATCTCTTCTTGTACACTATTGTGCACCTGCTTAGTAGCATTCGAGCCCTCTTTGTCATGGTCACTGCATGAAGAGTAACTTTCAGGGGTAGCCAGCTGTGCGACTAGAGTCAAACTTGGAGACACACAGACTGTTCCAGTTTACCAGAACAAACGCCAGGAAACCATGGCTAATCTTCAACATCTTCCTAGCCCTTTACTGTATATGAATTGGACAGTGTTTGATTTTCCAGTGAGCCTGCAAATGGTTACGTTTTGCTTGCTCGAACCCACACAGGGGACTACCCAATTTGCCTAAGTTTATTTGCGCTATGGTCAACTCCCCCGCACTATGGTCGTAACGGACAATCACAAGGGTTCGTACTAAGGAAACCACGACCATGACCGAGGCACCCCCTGCTTTTGGGCTCCAAGGTTTGTGCTGGAAACACCCTTTTGGGGGACTCCCTTTTCGGGCTTCATGTTAGGACTTGGTGGCTCCCAGCCATCCACTTAGCTTTTTAGCCTTTTAGTGTTTAGTGGTACTTTCCGTTTAACCCACTAAAAGTTAAACTTGTAGCGGGGGATCTGAGGGCAGCCCAGAGGAAGGACTTTTGATCATGGCACATCTTGGTGCGCAAGAGACATGTAGATGCCCAGCGGCGCGAAAGCACCGCGAAAGGAGAGCTTCCAAGAAGTGTTTCTGGAAGACTTCGGTGTCTGCCTTTACGCCGCGAGGCTGCACAAGACAAAGGTTTTCCCCTTTGAGCTTGTTGTTCGAGGGTTGTATTCTGTGGGCTTCACCTTAGGAATGTTGCTACCGGATTGATCAACCGGTTATCCAGGGGGGGGGGACCGGATTACAAAAGAACTATAATGGACTGCCCGGATATTGGTTGCATTTAAGTTAGGGGTTGTTTCTCCTTTTCTTGCTTATGCTCATGGCAAGTCTTTTTGCCCGGTGCATGTACCATGAAAGCGGATGGACATCGTTCGCAAAATGTGCGTGCGACCGCAGTCGCGGTTGAAGGGTTTGCTTTGCGGAAGCTTCGCTGAAGCATGTGTTGAAGCGGCCATTGTAGCAACAGAAGCCCACAATCAGCCGCACCGTGTCCACGAACTCCGCATCGCCCGCGGAAGCCTGGGAAGCAGTTTTTACAAGAACATGTTCGCGGAAGGAATTGGGTTCACGCCGCGGGAGCTTGGAAGGGTTCGCGGATGGTTGGATAATGTCATCAGACAAAGAAGAGAGTACATAGCAACACTCGAGTGGGAACCCAAATATATATATATATATATATATATATATTTAAATGACCTTTAAACATTTGGTGTGGGGTTCACCTTTTGCCACAGAAAGAATAGAAAGCCCACTACCCTCTCACACCGCAATGAAGATATTTTGTGTACAGGCCCAATTTTATATGTTCAACGGTGCAAACGGCAAATCCTGGCACAGGAATTGCATTCGCTGCTGGTGCCTAATTCACATCTTTGCCGCATGCTGACCATACAGGAGGAACAGCGCACCTGCACATCGTTGAGGTACAGTGTACGTGTGCTTAACAAGCTCTACGCAGCAAGCTTGTTGGTCATGTTTTCCGGCCATGGCTGGGAGATCGTGGCATATGGCGCCGTGAGATCGTGGTTGAAACAGGCGCCCTGTGTATTTATTTTATTTACAAGGGCTCCCAGTGCATGTTGTTCCTTTGTAGCAACAAAGATGCCAACGAACCTGTGGAGTAGTCCAGAGCCAAATGGAAGGCAGCGGCTGTCTCACCAGTCATGTTTCAAAACGAGACTGGGCCAAGAGGCCCGGTTGGGTCGAATTTCGATAGTAACGCTCTGAACATGGCATGAGGAGATATGGTCAAAGTGTCCCGAGAATGAGAATGTGCTTAAACAGTGACTGGTATAGGCTGCACTGGCCACACATGTTCGATGAAGCTACACTAGCTTCGGGGAATGGCAACACACGTCGCTTCACACTTCAGGCGCTAAGACAGGTCCTGGCCCTGTCAGGTCTTCGCATGGGTGGCCAGCCTGGTGTGGAGCGTGCTGGGTCTGGTCCCCAAAACAAAGCTGGGCCGAGGCCGAGTCTGGGCAAATCAGTGCACGACCTCACCTAAAACCATCTCCGACCCCCCCGACCCCCTTGGGTTTCTTTTTGATTTCTGGGATGTGAATGGTTGTAGTAATTTGTGCAAACTGAGCGGGTGCAATCAAGAACAATCAGTATCGATGTTTGTTTGGCGTAGGATGTTTGTTTGACGTTTGTCATGGAAACCACTGGAAATTCTGTTGGAAGCCAATGAGATACCGGCCAAAAGCAAGGGCCAACGTTCGGTAGCCCTGTAGCTGGTCTGTGAGATTCAGAACATGATAAAATGGTTGTTCGATTCAATACGTTCCAAGAGGAATGCACGCACAAGTCGTTTCACGTCGTCGCAAAAGGTTGCAAATGGGTTTGAACCCTTTGACAGGGCTTCTTTCAAAGGCATCTTTCTCTTAAAAAAAGAAGACACGGGGTGCTTAAACGGGGCCTGAAAAGGGGAAGTATCCTTTGATTGGGATGACGGCGGATAAGAACAACCCACCCAGCACAGGCATGCGTCATGCTGTTTATCATCCTGAAGCTGGGGCACCACTTATGCACCACTCATGGTGGGATTCACGCCGTTTCCTAAGCGATCAAGCACATCCGATGGCGTTCCGTGGATCTCTCGCTCTGAAGATGTTGAGGGATCCGGGGGCAGCTCTCTTCCTCATGGGAGCTGAATGACCCCGTAAACCCCACTGCAGTAGTTTGTGGCCGGACAGGGATAAGGTTGCTTCCCTTGAACTACCCGCCACAGCAAGAAACAGGAGGTGCACAGAAATCCGAGCTCTACTGAATCGCAAAACCAAAAGGGTTTCTTCCCAGGAACATAAATCTCAGACGGGCGTCCTTTTCCAAGTGAAGTTGCGGGACACCGCGGGCTGGAGCCACCCTCCCCCCACCCCTGGGATTGGGAGGGGGGATGTTGCGCCTGCGGATTCTTGCGCTCGACGCGTGGCCAAGCGGCAAACCGCCTCTTGAAGGTAGGGGCTATGATTTCCTCTTCGTGCAAAGGACCAGATGAATGTAGGGCAACTGAGTTCCACTCAAGACTATACTGGAGGAGGCAATTGTTGAGAAAAGGGCGAGCAACCCCGTGAGAATCATCCATTAGCCAGCCGCAAAGCGATCACCTCCTAAATCGGGGAACCCGTTGAACAGCTAACAAGCACGTTCCGATCACTGTGACAAATGTGCTTTCCACATCCACGAACCCATTAGTTAGAACCCATTCAACGGACCATCAGGGCGTTCACTGAGAACCGGCGCCCCAGGCGTGTCGTGGTTGCACCACACTGGCTGTGACCCTTCAGGCGAGATCCGGCCAAGAGGATTGATCCGGTCCCAACACTCCCAAGAAGCACAAGGGCCCACCCCTAGGCACACGGAAACAGCACAAGAAGCCTCATGTTGTTTTTGTTGTCTTCTGGGAAGGAGGTAAGGTGTTCTTCTCAAGAAGGGTTTCCGGATGAAAAGAAGGGAAGGCGGAGAAGGGAAGGCCCTATTCTTGCTGAGTTGGCAAACTTCCGTTTTCTTTTGGTAGGTGTCTGCCTCATTTTATTCAAGGCTCAATTGCCGATTTGGAATGGGGTTGGGTGGGGGCCACCCCCAAGAAAAGACCCACACATTACCCGCAAACCCATTTTTTGAGGATGATTGTTTTGGGCACGCTCTTGACTCTTAGGTTCGGCGGGCAGGTTGGGGCGTTTAATTCCGCCCGTACATGCGGCCCCCGAACCGAAGGTTTGCACCGTGACCTGTCAAGAACGCTATGTTTTGCAGTCCCCAGAAAGAATCCAAGAGCAGTGAAGGACCTGAAAAGTGCCCCTTGACGAGTTGGGTCACAACCCCCTTTTGAAGAACATCCAGTCGCCGAAAGAAACAACACAAATTTACAGATTCCTGGCATTCCCGGACCTTGAAATTCATGTCGGGCCTGTCTTCAACTCCCCATCTTGTTGGTGAACGGTTTGTGCCATTGGGGAACCAATTTGGCAGGGAAGCCCCAGTATTGTCAAACACCTGGACATTCCTTTGCGTGCTGTTTCGCGGGCGTTTCACGATTTAAGGCGTTTCGGGCAATTTAGGCATTTTGCGTGGACGTGCGCTTTGGCCTTCTGCGGCGTTGTGCGGCCATTTGCGGCTGGTAGGCGTTTCCGGGACTTTGCGGTGCGTTTGCGCTGCAAAATGAGGCACACACAGAAACTACATGACAAAAAAGTACTCGTTGGAACGTCCAGGGAGTTGTAAAAAGCAGTGCCTAGGGCCTGTCAACTCGAGCTTTTTGGTCTACGGTCCTTTGAGTAGCCTGGCTGACTTCGGGGAACCGAAGCGCACATGATGCCTCACTTGGGCCTGACGTTTTGGGCCCCAGCTTTTCATGGGAGGTGTTCCCCCATGTGGCCATGGCAACCATGGGAATGGTCCCACCACCCCAGACTTTTTTCCTTTTTCTTTTTCCGGGACACCGAATTTGCAAAGCCTCAAGGGGCAGTCGCTGAGCCTTCCTGTCTATTGGGACGTGGCCCATGGGCGGGGAGACTCTTTCCACGACCAAAACGAGCCTTCCGAGGCTGAAATCACGAGCCAAGGTAAAAGGCTTGAGCCCATTGGTTGGTTGGTTGGTTGCTGTGGTTGGGTTTGTTTTGCTTTGTTTTGGTTTGGTTTGCCTGTTTGTTTGTTTGTTTGTTTGTTTGTTTGTTTTTTTGCTTGCTTGCTTGCTTGCTTGCTTGCTTGCTTGCTTGCTTGCTTGCTTGCTTGCTTGCTTGCTTGCTTGCTTGCTTGCTTGCTTGCTTGTCAAATATACACTGTTCCCCCATGCCTATCCACTTTGGCTCAAGCTTGCACCAGAGAAATGGGTGCTGCGCCACTTCGCATGCTTCGGTTTGTGTTTGGTGAGACTTTAGAGTCCTTGGAATTTTTCATGGTAGCGGAGCTCTGGAACTTTCCAGAGCGTTCGAAGAACTTTGGGGTTTGAGCCATGGACATAGGCGCACTTGGACATGACACTGGACATGGCTGGCAGACTTAGGCTGCCAATGCCATCGCCACTTGGACATGACACTGGGGACATGGCTGGCAGACTTAGGCTGCCAATGTCATCGCCAGCCACTTACAATGGTTCGCTATCGGAGTGGGAAGAGTGGCCCTGGAACTTCAAAGCATACGTTTCAATGCTTGAGACTTCTGCAATTGGGGTACTTGACAGGGTTGAAGGAAGAGTTGAGCCAGTTCAGGATGAAGACTTGGCAATGACCTTGGAGACTGGTGATCCGGATGTGGAGGCATCAAGAAAGAGACTTGGAGGCGGCTTTACCACAAGTTTGCGCTGCCAGATGCCACAAGGCATGTCTCACTTTTAACTTTTAACCCAGCTCCTAGACTTCAAGTTTAACCCAGCAACTATTGAAGCTGACTTGAACAACTGGGAAGCCATCAAGGTCAAGCATGAGCGACAGACTGGAACCGAGCTTCCCGATAGCGTGTTAGTGGCGACTTTGCGGAGCAAGACCATTGGATGGAGCTTCGCAGCAGCACATGCGGCTCAATGCAAGGTCACTTTACACCTACGCGCAAATCAAAGACGTCATCGTGGAGTACTTCCGCTACTTTAGCTCGCGACACATCCTCGCTTTGAACAACAACAATGGCCCAGCACCAATGGACATTGGAGCACTTTGGAGGACAGGCAAAGGCAAAGGTGGCTCACTTTGGCACAAAGGCAAAGAAAAAGGACATTCAGGGAAGGCCAAAGGTACAGGAAAAGGGCTCCACCGGAACTTTCACGCGAAGGCAAAAGGCAAGGCAAGCAAAGGAAAGGACTTTGAGAAAGGCAAAGGCAAAGGTAAGATCTCAGGAGCTGAACAACGTTGAGATCTCCTTCGATTCAATTATTCCTTTGCAAGAAGGCAATGTGCTGACCTTTTTCACAGATGGGTCTTGTATTAACCCGCGCTGGGCGCATGCTAGGCGGGCATCATGGGCTGTGGCACAATCCACTTTTCTCTGCGACGCAGACATCGAGACTGCATTGAACTTCTCAACTTTGCTGGACTTGTGGTAGACCAGGTCACCTGACAAAAGCGTCAACGCACTTAAAGAAACAGAGGTGCTTCAGGATTCGTCCTGGTTGGCAGAGGAATAGGATACTTCGACGATGCCGTGTTGGGGGCACTTGGAGCGTGAACGCACTTTGGGATGATGATGTGTGGTGGCATGATGCTCGGACATGGGAGTCGGACACTTGGGTTTGGTCACAGCCCGAGGCTTCTCCCGACTTGAAGAACTCGTCAGGAGCAGATGCTTCGGCCCCTGGCTCACTCGGAGTTGCTGCAGTCACTGCGAGCCCGCCGGGGCTTCCAAAGCCTAAGGCTTACCCTGTTCCGAAAGCATCTGCGGCTTCCAACTTTATGTTGGGCAAGGTTGCGTCACCTAGGTAGGCACTTGGCTGGCACGAGGCGCTTGGTTCAACACTTGAGGCCGGCGGTGAAACTTCATGACACATCAAGCACTTGACGCCAACACTTACGTCGACTCGGATTGGGCAGGATGTCATGACACCCGTCGTAGCACTTCACGCGTCGCACTCTTTGTGCTAGGTGTGAACTCGTCGCACTCTTAAGCAACAGTGGCATGTAGCAGCGGGGAAGCCGAACTTTATGCTATCGAGCCAGGGACTTCAGACTCCTTGTTTATCCGGTCACTCATACTTGTCAGGCCGTTTTGAAAAAAAGCCAACTTGACAGTCCATACGGACTCGACTGGCAAAAGCATGGCAGGTAGGTTTGGAACTTCCCGCAAAACTGAACATGTGGACTTGCGTCACTTGTGCGTGCAAGAGCTGGTCACCTCTGGCCTGCTCAAATTGCGAAAGGTTCCGGGAACTTAAAACCCTGCAAATGTTATGACGAAGAACATCAGCAAATACACTTTAGCAACGCATTTACCCACTGCGGGGGTTTCCACGATGTGAACTTTGCGAAGTAGTTGCATGACCTCACTTTTCACTCTATTTTTCGGCGAGTAGGACTTTTCAGAACATGTAGCACTTTCAGCAAGATAACTTTCAGTTGGAAGCATGACACTTTATACACCGCCGCTGCCATTCTTACTTCTCACATTTCTGCTTGACGCAATTGGTGTACACTTGCATTTTTGGTGATGATGGCACTTTTCTTCGGGCCGGATTGAGCAGGGACATGTTCATTGCTCCCTTGCCATTGAGGAGCACAGTATCAGTCAACCTTGCGAGATGCCTACACCACTTTCAGTATTCACTTTCTGGAGATTCATGCCTTGTTTCGTGGAGATCATCATCATGACTGGGAATCAGCAAGAGGTCATCTCACTTGACCTCATGACTTTTGATCACAACACCCAAAACGGGCACACTTTTGGACGACTGCACTTTTTTCAAGACATGTTGGTAGCAAGACTGAACCAAGACCAGGTACTTTCTTTGGCACAACTTCTATGCCCGTTCACCTGTTATCTCGCACTTCCTGTTCCAGTGATTGAATCACTTGTGCGTGTGAGAAGAGCCTCGCACTTTGACCAGAAGCTAAGTAGACCTTTGGTTGAACTGTTGATGGATTAAGTCATGAGAGCTCTCCATCAGAAACAGGAGTGGCTTTCAAAGCGACTTCAATGGCGCCTGCGTCAGGACTTTCATGCCAATACATACTCCTGTGCGTTCCCACTTTTTGCACTTACTTTTGTATGCATACACCGCGAGGAAAAACTTGTGCAGATCCAGCATTTTGCCGCTTTGTGTGTACAGACTTTCGTGTTGTCTACATTCAAGTTTGAATGTATCCAAGGGGGCGCGCCACATATACACTTTTCCCCCATGCCTATGTCATGATACAACTGCCACGTTGTTGTTTTGATGCGGGTCGGTTGTTTTCTGGCTTGTTTGTTTGTTGTTTGTTTGTTTGGCTAGCTGGCTGGCTGGCTGGCTGGCTGGCTGGCTGGTTGGTTGGTTGGTTGGTTGGTTGGTTGATTGGTTTGGTTGGTGTTTTTGTTTGTTTGTTTGTTTGCTTGTTTATTTGGTTTGTTGTTTGGCTGGCTGGTTGGTTGGCTGGTGCTGGCTGGCTGGTTGGTTGGTTGGTTGGCTGGTTTGGCTGGCTGGCTGGCTGCCCGGCTGGCTGGTTTGGTTTGTTTGTTTGTTTGTTTGTTTGTTTGCTTGCTTGCTGGCCTGCTTGCTTGCTTGTTGTTTGGTTGGTTGGTTGGTTGGTTGGTTGGTTGGTTGGTTGGTTGGTTGGTTGGTTGGTTGGTTGGTTGGTTGGTTGGTTGGTTGGTTGGTTGGTTGGTTGGTTGGTTGGTTGGTTGGTTGGTTGTGTTGGGTTGGTTGGTTTGCTTGTGTGGTGGGTTGGTTGGTGGGTTGGTGGGTTGGTGTGGTTTGTTTGTTTGCTTGCTTGGTTAGGTTGTTTGTTTCCTTGCTTGTTTGTGTGTTGGGTTGCTGGTTGGGTTGGTTTGGTTGGTGTTTTTTGGTTTGTTTGCTTGTTTGCTTGTTTGCTTGTTTGGTTTGATTGCTTGCTTGTTTGTTGTTTGGATTGCCGGTCGGTCGGTCGGTCAGTTGGTTGTTTGGTTGGCTGGCTGGCTGGTTTGGTTTGGTTTGGTTTGTTTGCTTGCTTGCCTGCCTGCTTGCTTGCTTTCTTGCTTGCTTGATGACCTTTGTGTTTGCTTCCCCGTCAACAGCTGAAAGCTTTGGTGGGGGCTTTGCCGAGTTCGGGTTTGGAATTTTGGGGTTTTTAAGAGGGGCTGGCAAAGTCAGATATTCTGGTTGTTGGGGTCGTGGGGTACTGCAAGATGACCAAGAGTCCTGGTTATGGTTGGTCATCCTGAAGCTTCGCCATCACCAGCCGGTTGCTCCCTCCCAGTCAGCACGGCCCTTCC